AGAGCAAGAAGTAAAGAAAGGTGCACAGAAACAGAGAATGGTAAAAGCCTAGAGGCAAATGGTAGATGGGATAATTTAAGAAAAGCTGGCTAGATATAAGTCATGATAAGGCCACGTTTTTAAACTTATTTTTTAATTTAAATTAAAACAATCTTATTTTATATACCAATCCCAGTTCCCTCGTCCTCCCCTCCTCCCATCCCCTCTCATCTCCCAATCCCACCCTTCCCTTCCACTCCTCAGAGATGGTGACAAGGCTGGGCGTTTATAAAGAAGACTAAGCCTCTGTGTGATTTATTTGGGAACTGGGTGACAGGTCTCCAAAAGAGCCAAAGAGTAATGAATAAGAAAACAACCCACTACACTTGGTGGTGGTATTGATCAACTGCATGGTACTCTGTTAGGGTTAATTTTGATCATCAACTTGACTGTATTGAAAGATACCTAGGGGGGTCAGAAAGGTGTGCTTTAGATAGTCCATCTGTGAGGTCATCTCCACAGATGACTGGATCATGAGGCATCTAACCTAATCAGTGATTAATCCTCTGATGGTTAGATAATTTGATGACATTTGGGAACTGATGGAAACTAGGTGGAGGGAAGGGCATTTTGGAGGAAGTCTTCAGTGGAGGAGTGCCTTTGCAGGCTGTCTCTTGTCTCCGCTCTTCCGGTGAGGGCCTCTGCTTCTGAGCAACCATGCAGTGAGCTGTTTTGTGTCACCACGTGCTGTGTACCAGCAGCCTGCCAGCGTTACTGCTTCACCTTCACGGATGGAGACATTCTTGGTCTGAATCAGTGGTTCGCAATCTTCCTAATGCTGTGGCCTTTGAACACAGCTCCTCATGTTGCGATGACCCCAACCATAAAATTATTTCATTGCTACTTCATAACTGTAATTTTGTTACTGGTATTAATTATAATATAAATATCTGATATTCAGGATATCTGGTATGTGATTCCTGTGAAAGGGTCATTCTATTCCCCAAAGGCTCATGGCCTACAGATTGAGCACCTTTTGTCTAAAAGAACAGAAATATGCCCTTAGTTGGCACCGGAGAGAATAATAGTCTACATGTGCTGGTGGGTGTGCATGCCATTGTGAACATGTGAGTGCTGGGGCCAGAGGTCAATATCTTTCTCCATCCTTCTCCAGCTTACTTTTTGAGACAGGATCTCTCACTAAACCTAGAACTTTCTGACTGCCTAGAATGGCTAGCCAATGAGCTTTGGGGAATCACTTGTCTCTGCCCACCTAAGTTCTATGGTTTCAGATGTCCCATGGAACTTAGGTGGTGGGGTGTGTGTGTGTTTGTGTGTGTCTGTGTGTGTATTACCATATGCAGATATTTTGTGATTGCTGAGGAATCCAAACTCAGGTCCTCATACTTGTGGAGCAAACATGTTACCCTTGAATCATCATCCCAGACCTGATAGGATTTTTTTGACTCAGTTTAAAGATGGGATCTGAAGCTCACCTTGAATGCTAAATTGCTTATTAAAACAGGGATAGCATTAACAGACATGGTGAACTCAGGAAAAGGAACTTATTTATTAGAGATGGCAAGGAATCAAAATATGAGGAAGTGTTTTTAAATATAAATTTGAGAATTTTAAATCTTAGACAAAGGCTTCCTTAACTCAGTACAACACCAGTCTTCAACTCAGAATCTGGGTAAGAGCATCACACATCCATTTGGATAAAGTCTTGGCCTTATTCTGACACATACAACAGAGCAATAGAGATCATGATATGTGACAAGACAGCCTCAGGCTGATACCCCCTGTCCCATCTTTCCATCCCCATACCATGCCCATTGCTTTAGGATCCATGCAGGTGGTAAGCCATCTCACAGAAACATTTACACAGAGAATTCCTTATTACCTCTGACAGATGTATTTTACCCCATTGCTTCCCTAACCTCAGTTCCTGGAAGGCTGCCCAGCATTGTTGCTAGATAGTATTGCCATGGCAACCGTAGACCATACCACCAGGGTGAGATACAGAAAAGCAAAAATAGTGTAAGAACAGATTTTTTGAGGCCCTGGTCTCTCTGGCTTCACACCTGACAGAAGCATATGTGTACCCATGAGTAGAACTTGAGGGGGGGGATAAAGCAAGCTAGGAAGGATATTGGGGTGCTATGGTCAGAATGCCCAGGGAGAGTATCTCTCAAAGAAGCAGGGGCACAAGTTAGTATCCAAAATGTAAGATTATTTTCTTATTTTTGCCTAAATATAGAATTACTGTGGCTGGATCTTCTTTCAGAACAGAATGGACCAATAGCTACGTCTCAGTCATTGACACTGTAAAATAACTTCATTGAAACAGCTTTCTTATTCCTGTCATTAACTCAACCACAGCAAATTAGCTTGCTAGTCTGAGACTAAGAGGTGGAGTGTAGCACTGACATGGGTACCCCATATATCTAGATTTCAGGCCAATGGACAAAATGTTAGTATTGTTCTGCCTTTTGGGCTGGCAGTGGTTACCAGGGGCTTGCTTCCCATTAACTTTATGAATCTTGAATATATGACCAAAACTTAGTCTGATAAAATACTGATAGTCTCAAAATAGAAAACAAAGGGTTGTTCATTATAAATGATTATGAAAATATAGTGTGATTGAGAAGAGGGTTTCTACCGTCATGCAATTTCAATGCAAAACTAGCTGAAGCCTTTCAAATGATCTTCTTTTTAGAATTGCTAAAACTTTTCATTATACTGTGAGTGGCAATAACTTGAGGTAGAGTGTCAGTATTTTTTTTGTTTTGCACATTTACTTTCTGTTTTGTGTGCCCTGCCAGGCATGTCCCCCTCAACAAGGGCATTTGGACATTACCCATGCATGTGGTTGCTCTTTCATTTCTCCGTTCCTGGCTTCTTTGATGTTAGGTGCTCTACACTGACACACACACACACACACACACACACACACACACACACACACACACACACACACACACCTGTCATGGTGGACTGTTACCTCTGAAAATGTGAGCTGAAATAAGCCTTTCTTTCTAAACTTGTTTTCCTCAGATACTGGCCACAGCAACAGTACAGTTGACTAATACAGCTTGGAACGGTGGTGCGTGTCTTTAACCCCAGAGCTGAGGAGGTGGATCTCTGTAAATTCAAGGCCAGCCTGGTCTACAAAGTGTGTTCTAGGCTAGCCAATGCTATACAGTGAAACCCTATCTCAAAAACAACTCCTGCCTCATACAGTAATCAAGATGTACAGCCTTTTAAAGTGAGGTTATCACCAAGTCTGCTCATCTTCTTTTGGTTTGTTTCTAAGTGTTAGTTGCCCTTTGTTTGTATGCCTGTCTTCTGGTCCATATATAACACATGGTAAGCATTCATTACATGTGCTTTGCTCTTTTGAATGCTCTCTTCTTCCTCTTCCTCCTGGATGCTCATTCTTTATCCATGTTGGTTAGTTACTTTCAACTTGACACAAGCTGGGACATGTCTGGGAGGAAGGTATCTCAGCTGAGGAACTGTTCCCACCGAACTGGACTGTGGACAAGTCTGTGAGACACTTCTCTCGATGTGTGGCTGATAGGAGAATGCCCAGCTAACTGTGGGTGGTTTTACTCTGGGAAGGTAGTCCTGGGTTATATGAGAAGGCACACTGAGCTAAGCTCTTGTGAGCAAGTGGGCTATCAGCATACTTTCATGGTTTCTGCGTCACTTCCTGCCTTGAGTTCTTGTCCTGACTGCATCAAGTTGCTTTTGGTCATGTTTTTTTCACAGCAACACAATCTAAACTGGCACAGAAATTGATACCAAGATCATGGGATATTGCTGTAACAGACCTGATCATGTTTTTTTTGTTTGTTTGTTTACTTTTGTGTCCCTCCTCCACAGCAGATTGTGGAAGTGTTTGGATTTTAGGATGGAGAAAGTCGCTGAGTGTTCACTGAGCTGTTGTGTGAACTTGGAAGATAATGATGAAGACCTGCCTTGTGAACTTTTAGAAGCAAGTTTGAGAGTCCCTTAAAGACTTTATCAGGGGCATTGATGTGGTATTTTGAATTAGGAACCCCTGGTTTCTTGTCAATTTGGGCTGAACACTCAGCACCAATTAACAAGAGACCAGAACCTCTTCTTTATTGGGATAATCAATGTTGATTAGCTGTGGATGAGAATCCATTGTGGTTAATAGAAGACCAACATCACTGAGCTGAAATCATCTTGGGGTATTTCTTCAGGGTCAGCACACAGAAGCTGGGGTCCAGAATGTGTCAAGGTTGCATCTTATGTTGGCAGATGAACTTATGTCAGAGTCTCCCATGTGGTAGTAGTTTTGAAGGAATGAAGGAATCATGGAAGCAGATGAGGCTAGGTGTCATGAGAAGTTAGGAGAGCATTGGTGAAAGTGTAGTCTCAATTGAAGTGTAAACCCCAGGACCAAAGAAATTGAGACTTGGGAAAGTCTCTTCCTGTGGAGACCCCAGTATAACAGAGATGCTATGGCTGTGGGATTAGCAATTGCCAAGGATGGCGGCAGTTGTGGAGTGAAACTGGATTGAGCCTACAAGACAAGTTGTGTGTTCTGGGGTTGAAGAAGTAGCTGGAGAAGTGGAGCTGCACAATATTAGAGCCAAGAGGATGGTGAGCTTCACATGTCAGACATTAAGCATTGTTGGAGTTTGACTTCGCTTTTGATTGTTACTGTACATTGAAAACTCTCCAATGATATTGGATCACTGACTGTAGATTGTGTAAAGTATGAGAAAAATGCAAAATGTTCCTTATTGTTGGGATGTAAAGGAATGGAGAAAAAGCAGTATTTGAAGCCACGTATAGGAATGTAATGCCCTTGACAAATCACAGTAGGAACAGGAAGCTCTGGCTAGAGGACCCCCATTGTTTTCACAGTAGCATTTATACCTCTGAGGCCATAGAACAGTTGAAATGTATTCTTTACCCTTTCATGAATTGCAAAAATTAGGGGAATTCCAGGCACTAGCTGAAAGTTCTGTATGCTTTATTTGTAGTTGTTCCTGTATTAGAAGATGGGCCTGTTTAAATTCTTCCCCATGAAGGAGCCTTGACCCTCCTTAGTCCAGTGTTTTCCCTGGGCAAATATAAGGAGTGGTAGCCACTCATCCTGCCTCACCTCTTGCCAAGATGTGTTTTGTGGATCCTTATGATTCTCTGGATCCAAGCATTACTGCAGTCCCAATTGCAGAATAATTGACAAGGATTGTATCCCCCCTTTATGGGCTCATTTTACATCAGCTCCTATGTGTTTCCAATTTTCAACATCAATGGTTCCTTTTTCAGGAAATCAAGGATTGAATTTTACAGGCACTTATACAAAGTTTTAGAGCTGTTGCTCTGAGTATTTTTTGCTTATCTTGATCTTTACATGCATCTCAATCACTGTATGAAATACTTTGCCTCAGAAGACTGAGAGGAACCCATGCTATGTCGTTCTCACGCTCCTGATTCCATGGGCAAGAAGACTGAACTATCCTCTGCTTTGTGTTAAAGAACAATTTTCTTACCTTCTCCAAGGTCCAAGCCCACATCTTTTACACCAGTTGTGGCCTCCACAGCCAGATTATCTTCAGGGAAGAGGGAGAGCAAGAAGGCAGTGCAGTTGAATATGACTCAGTAGCCAGTGTTGGTTCAAACTTCTGGCATCTGACCCCAAGTAGTTTATTTTGGGCACATTTAATCACAGTACAATTTGCTAAAAACTTATTCTGATGACAATTAACTCAATCCTATGTTACAGCAAAGCATACATAAATCTCTTGAGGAACAAAGTGAGCTAAATACAGATCAGATGCGAAATTCATTACGAAGTTTGTAAAGATATGATCTAAAGATTGACTGAAAGATAATTTACTGTAAGTTCTGGGGGTAGATCTGTTGCCAGGGAAGTTTTTGACACACATATAGAGCAAAGGTCACTGGGCTATTAAACATGTCTGTTCCTAGCCTTCTGGCAGGTAAGAGGTTATGCCTTTCTTCCCCGTGTGTTTAACATTCTAGGTTCCACTGGTGCTTATCTGTTAGCACAAAGACCTCCATGCCTTCTACAAGCAATGTGGCAGGATGCAAGGAAAACACGCAAAAATTCAGTAGTTTTCCTGTATACAAAAAAAAAAAAACCAAACAGAAATAAATCAGGTAAGCAATCCCATCCACAGTAGCTTCAAATTACAAAATCCACCTTGGAGTAAGCCTGACTAAGGATATGAAACAACTTTACATAATATATATAATGCATATACATATATATGTATATATTAAAGAAAACACTGGGGATGTATTAGAACAGATACCAATGAAATTCAGAAAATAATGATGTATATTATAAAAACCTTTATTTTACCAAATTGAGACATCTAAAAGGAGTTGATGAATTTCTAGAGGCACACCACTTACCAAAGTTAAACAAAAATGAGATAAACAAATTTAAAAGACTTTCAATAAGCAATGAGAGTGAGGCAATAATAAAATTCCTAATTTAAAAAAAGCCAAAAGAAAACAACAAAACCCAGGTCTGGATTGATTCATTTCAAAATCCTGCCAACTTCTTAACAAACTAAAATCAATATTTCTTAAATTATTCTATAAAATAGAAAAGGAAAGACCAGTTCCAATTTCTTTCTATGAATCCAGCACTAGGCTGACAGTAAAGCCAGACCAAAATATAATAACATCAAAGAAACCTATTGACCAGTCTTCCTGATGAATATAAACCATGATCAATTTCCTTGATGAACACAGTCTTAAGAATTCTCAATGAAATACTTAGAAACTAAATTAAAGGATATCTAAAAAAAGATAATCCACCATGATAAAGTTGGCTTCATTCTAGAGATTTAGGGATAGTTCAACATGTGAAAATAATAAAATGCAATTTGTTATATAAGTGGCTTCAAGGACAGAAATTACATGATCATCTCAATAGACATAGAAATTCCTTTGACATAATCCAACATCCCACCATGATAAAATTCCTGGAGATAATGAATATGAAAGGAACATATATCAATGTAACAAAGGATATATATGATATACTTATATCCAACTTCATTCTAGATGGAACACACACACACCATGAAACTAGAATAAGGAATAGTTGTGAAGAGGAATGGGTCATTAGGAACAGGATGGGGGCTAATTGAAGGAGATAGGGAATTTTTCTAAAGCAGTAAAAATTTATATGGACGCACAGAAGACCATAGCTGAAACAATCCTGAGAAAGTGAATAGCACTGGAGGTGTCACTACATGTGATCCCATATTATGCTACAGAGGCACAGTAATATGAATATCATTGCATGATGCCCAAGCAAGTCATTAAGATCATTTAGGCATTTAGGTAAGCATAGATGTTCCAGACTGTGGTGGTGTAAACCTTTAAGCCTAGCACTTGGGAGGCAGAGGCAGGCAGATTTCAGTGAGTTTGAGACCAGCCTGGTCTACAAAGTGAATTCCAGGACAGCCAGGACTGTTACACAGAGAAATCCTGTCTAGAAAAAAAACAAAAAACAAAAAGAAATCCCAGATAATACTCATGCAGCTAAAGCCATAAGACTATGTATATTATTTACTTATTATTTTAGAATTTATTTATTCTTTGAGAATTTCATATTCCTATACAATGTATTTTGATCATATCTACTCTCCCGTAAGATTCCCCTCTATAACATCTTCCTCCCAAGTTAATGCCTTCTTTCTCTCTTCTTCCTTTTCTTTTCTTCTTTTTAATAATGCACTAAGTTCAGGTAGTGTTATTCCCATGTACACAAGTGTGGACCCATAAAGAAAGTACAAGGCACTTTGATACTATGCCCATTTATCAAAATAATGCTAGGTGGTTTTCCCTTAGGGTTGTGACTTCCCTGGCCAGGGGTTCCTGGTCAGGTTTACAGTACCAAACATGAGTTCTTTATGTTTGGTGTCCTCAGCAATAGAGTTCCATCTCCAAGTTCTGGTGGGTGAGGCAAGAACAAAAGAAGTAACTTGTATTGATTGGGGGAATCTGGGAGCACCCCCAATACCCACATCCAACAGAAGGCACTGGGGTTTTATCTAAAACCCATGACTTCTCAGAGTGCCTCAATTCAAACTTTTTATTATATATTTTTCTAATTTTTTACACATAAGTACAATGCAGTTTTAATCATATTTTCCTCAACTTTTTAATAAAATATTATAAATCTGTATGTTTCCACATAAGGCCCCATGTTTTTAAACTAGTATTATAAATTAGAGCAAAGACAGCATCTTCAACAAATGGAAAAACTGGATATCCACATTTGAAGACTAAAACTACCCCCCACACACATTTCATCCTCTGTAAAGATTATCTTCAAATATATCAAAGACTTTAATATAGATTTATAACTCTGAAAATGCTATGAAAAAGTCAGGGAAAACACTTTAAGATTTGGGCATTGGTAAGTACTTTTCTAAGCAGACTCAAGTTAGTCAGGAAACAATGCAGATAATCAACAAATGGGACAAAAGAAGCAGTTAATTGATCGATGAAAGCCTGCGGAATGGGAAAAGAATCCTTGTTACCTATGCATATGACAAGATTCATATCTAGACTATATAGAATTCTAAAAGAATACAAGCAACAAGGAGTCAAACAGCTGATCATAGTTAGGGTATCTGTTGCGATAATAAAACACTATGACCAAAAGCATCTTGGAGAGGAAAGACTTGACTTTGCTTACACTTTTAGGCAATAGTCTATCCTGGAGACAGGAACTAATATAGAGGACATTGAGTAGTGCTGCTACGACTTGCTCCTCATGGTTTGCTCAGCCTGTTTTCTTATAGCACCCAGGGGTAGTCCTGCCCAGAGTGATTAGGGACCTTCCACATCAATCCAGTCATCCGGGAAAAATGCACCACAACCAAAAGTAAACAGTTTCTTCCATTTAAAAAAAATGCACCACAGTCTTGTCTGAAAGCCAATCTGTTGAGGGGCTCTTCTTAATTGAGGTTCCCTCTTCCAAAATGACTCCAATTTGCATTAATTGGCATAATAATTAATTAGCATACAACCCAATCAATAAATTGGTTTAGTGACCATGCTCAAAAGCAGAAAAGGAAATGAAAAATAAAGTCAACCACATTTGCCACCAGAAAAATGCAAATTGCAACTACATTGATAGTCCAGCTTACCCCAGTGAGAGTATTAATAATCCTTAAGAAATATTAGTAATTATATTATTCATTATCATTCATTCATAATGTAAATAATAATCATTAGAAGTAATAATCATTAAGAAACAATAAGTATAATCATTCATTCATGATTTAAATAACAATCATTAATAATAATAATCATTAAGAAAACAAATACAAATTCTACTACAAAATTTCTAGGAATAGTGAACAATGTCAGTAAAATATTCAGGATTCATAATCAACTCATAAAAACCTTTTTTAAAATAAATAAATTTTTATTTAAATTAAAAACAATCTTAGTTTACCTACCAATCCCAGTTCCCTCTCCTTCCATCCTCCCATGCCCCCCACAAACTTCCCATCCCACTCTCCATCCACTCCCCAGGGAGGGTGAGGCCTCCCATGGAGCATCATCAAAGTCTATCACATCATTTGGCACAGGGCCTAGGTCCTCCCACATGTATCTAGGCTGAGAGTATCTCTCCATAGGGAATGGGCTCCCAAAGTCCATTAGTGCACCAGGGATAAATACTGTTTCCACTGCCAGAGGCCCCATAGACTGTCTAGGCTCCCCAACTGACACCCATGTTCAGGAGGTCTGGTTTGGTCCTATGCTGGCTCCCCAGCTGTCAGACTGGGGTCTGTGAGCTTCCATTTGCTCAGGTCGGCTGTTTCTATGGGTTTCCCCAGCATGGTCTTGACCCCTTTGCTCATCACTCCTCCCTTTCTTACAACTGGATTCCAGGAGTTAAGTTCAGCAGCAGCCTTTCTATACACCAACAACAAACAATTGAGGAAGTCAACTTTGACAAATTCCTGTTCACAGTCTCCTGAAAGACAATAGAACATCTTGGAATAAGCCTAATGGAGGAAATGAACAATTCTCTGAAGAAAGATACTTCAGATACCTTCAATTCTCTGAAGAAAGATACTCAGGAAGACACTAAAAAAATAAAAAAGGAAATATATCCCAAATTCAAAGATTGGTAAAATTAACATTATGAAAATGACCACCATACCAAAGTCATGTTGCAGATTCAGTGCAACTCAGATAAAAATACTCACAACATTCTTCACAGAATTAGGAAAAAAAATCTTAAAATTCATATGGAAAAGAAAAGACCCTACCCTCTACTTCCTCCCTGCCACAATCTCCAGCAGATCTTCTTCTACCATCTTTGTTATGACCTCATCCCTTTGTCTCAGTTGCAAACTCCAGCAGGAATTTCCTGAGAATGCAACCAAGAAAGCAGATGGGCAAGAGAAGCAGGTAGGTGATCTTCAGATCTTTACACTTCCTCCTTTCCTCCA